ACGGCAAAAAAACGGCTCCAGGATTGGAACCGGAGCCAGAACTGGTCAAAAAACGGCGACGGAACCGGTAAAAAAACAGCGTAACGGGCAACAAAGACGGCAACACGGAACCGGTAACAAAAACGGCCCTGTCGTTTCCAGGGCCCACTAAGGTCGGGGGCGGCAAAGGAGCCTCCTCTGTCGCCGTTGAGGTCTGTTTTTCGACCCCGTGGGTTCTTCCTCCGATCCCCAGCTGATTTGGCTTTCGATCCCTAGTTGTGTTGGTTCGTCGAGGCTTTCGCGGGGTCGTTTTCGCCCAGTCCGCCGTGGGGGCGTTTTCGTCCAGGCCGGGCCTGTCGGGCCGGGTCGGTCGGTCTCCGGTGGCCAGGGGTCGGGGGCACCGCGGCGGTGCCAGGATGTTGACACCGCCCAGGAATATTCGGGGGGCCTGATCAGCGGGCCCCCCGAATGGGGCACTTCCAGGAGGCACCTCCACGACCGGTTCTCGGTCCGGTTCCCGGTGCGGGCCCGGTTCGGTTCCACCGCCTCCGGTTCGGTTTGGTTCCGGTTCACGTCGGGTTTGTGGCGGGTTCCGGTTTCGTCGGTTCTCGGATGGTCGGTTCGGTTCTGCGGTTCGCGGTTCGGTTCGGGGGTTCTTTGAAAGGAGGGGGCTGGTGACCACGGGGGGGAAAGGCGATTGCAAAGGGTGCGGTTACGCCAGGGTGTGGTTTGCGATCGGCGCCGCGGGGGCCTGGAGGGCACGACACTGTGCTTGTCGGGCCTCCTCGGGTCGCGGCGGAGAGCTCTATCGAGGCACCCGCCCGCCCCCCATGGTGCTCCCCAGGGTGCCGATTGCAAACCGCACCCGGGGGCGACAAAGATCTGAGGCGACGATAGGGGCGAGTAGCCCAGGGGGAGCAATACATGCATTCAGGTGCGCCGATGATCTATGTCTTCGAAAAGGCTTCCGGGCGAATTTGTGTAATGCCCGCCCCTGGGCTATTCGCCCTTATCGTCGCCGCCGAAAAGAGGGGGTGTTGACTGGGGTTGTGGAGTTCGATTAATGGAGAGGAGGCATGCTGCCAAATTTCTGTCCAGATGTCTAAAACATGTTTCAGACATGCTTTAGATATGTAGAAAACATGCTCGAGACATGTTTAAAACAAACTTTACACATGTTCGACACATTTTTACTTCAATGGTAGGAATGTTAGAGTGTCCATTGTTATGGCATCCACAAGACTAGGGGGGGGGGCTCATGGCGTGGGCCATGATATTCCCCCAGACTTCATGGCGCCTCTTCTTGGTTCATTACGTTCCAGGCGTCCCCCCCCTGGGCCGCGGACGTGCCGCCGGCCATGATTGGCGCCCCCCCCCCCCTCTTGGACGCCCCGCTCTTGGCCGCCCCCCAGGGGGTGGGCGGTCGGGCACTCCGGAGGGTTCAAAAAGCATGGGGGAGCGAAACGAAGCATTGGGACGCCAAAGATGGCCCCAAGACGGTCCAAGAGGCCTCCAAGACACCCCAGAGGCCTCCCAAGAGGGCCCCAAGAGGCCCACATCATTGATTTCCCAAAAGCTGTTGAAGGATCTGGGAGATCTCGCGTTTACGGCGTCCCAAAGAGGCCTCCCAAGAGGGCCTCAAGAGGCCCAAATCATAGAGCACGCGCGAGCAGGACAGGGGGACTTGGAAAACACACCAGGCTGGACAGGGGGATGCAGGGCGGACGCGTCCGCATCCCCGTGTTGTTCCGCATACCCCTGTCCTGCTCACGGGGTGAGGACGTTCGACGTTCGATGGGTTTGGACCGCCCACGCCCTCGCAGATGAGATGCCTCGGGCATTGATGCGCCTCCCGCCCCCCCTCCGCGCGTAGTAGTTACTTTGCGAGTGGTGGAACGCGCTCGTCTATCAGCCACCATCTATCAACTGCGCGCAAGCGTGGCCCTTCGCCGGAGTGACCTCTTCGGTGCGGGCTCAGATCGGGGCCCCTTTGCCTAGGGCCACTCTCGCGAGCAGCCGATTCTGGTGGGGCCTTCTCTACCATCTGCCGACTGCGCGCAAGCGTGGCCCTTCGCCGGAGTGACCTCTTCGGTGCGGGCTCAGATCGGGGCCCCTCTTGCCTAGGGCCACTCTCGCGGGCAGCCGATTCTGAGAGGGCCTCCTCCACCATCTGCCGACTGCGCGCAAGAGTGGCCCTTCGCCGGAGTGACCTCTTCGGTGCGGGCTCAGATCGGGGCCCCTCTTGCCTAGGGCCACTCTCGCGAGCAGCCGATTCTGGTAGGGCCTTCTCCACTCCTCCTCCTCCTCCTCCTCCTCCTCCTCCTCCTCCTCCTGCTCCTCTCCTCCTCCTCCTCCTCCACCTCCTCCTCCTCCTCCTCCTCCTCCCCCTGCTCCCTCCCCCTCTCCTCCTCCTCCTCCTCCTCCTCCTCCTCCTCCTCCTCCCTCCTCCCCTCCTCCTCCTCCTCCTCCTCCACCCCCTGCCCTCCCCCTCCTCCTCCTCCTCCTCCTCCTCCTCCTCCTCCTCCTCCTCCTCCTCCTCCTCCTCCTGTCGACTGCGCGCAAGAGTGGCCCTTCGCCGGAGTGACCTCTCCAGTGCGGGCTCAGCTCGGGACCCCCCCTCGGATCGCCGAGCGCGGCGCGGCAGCGGCTGGCTGTGTGTCTGCGCGCTCGGATGGGGCCCTCCCTGACCTTCCGGGAGGATAGCACCAGGGCATCGACGGCCTAATTCTGGTCGATGGCTGCGGCAGCCCGCAGATAGATCTATAGGTCTGGAGTCTTATCTTTCAGCACTCTGGAAGCTCAGGGCTGTTGCGCCTCCCCCCCTCTTCGGATGCAACTTCTGGGAGGTCAAACTCTGTTTTCACCCTGGTCCGAGATCCGGCTTAATCCCGCTCAATCCCGCTCAATCCGGCTTAATCCCGCTTAACCCCGCTTAATCTGGCTGAATCCGAGGCCCACTCCGGCGTAATAGCTCCCAAATTGGGCTTAATCCTCCTTCATCTTTCCAGCGAGAACCTCCCAGTTGTTGCCTCCCAGAAAATATGGGAAAATATGAGAAAAGGGGGGGGGGAAAACAAAAACCCGGAAAATATTGGAAATTATGGAATCCTGTTATCTATGTGTATTCAGTTGTGTGTTCCAGGGCCCCTTCATGCTCCGCGCACCAGGGTCCACTCCTTCCTGGGGCCACTCCTGCGAGCAGCCGAGATTCTTGGGGGGGGGGGCGCGAGCGAAGGCCTTTCCGACGAAGCTCGATGGGTATAGCTCCGCACCTCGGGCTCGACCCGTGGAGGAGGTGGGGGAGGAGGGAGAGGAGAAGGAGGAGGAGGCGGAGGAGGAGGAGGCGGAGGAAGAGAGAGGAGAGAGGAGGAGAGAGGAGAGAGGAGAGAGGAGAGAGGAGGAGAGAGGGAGAGAGGAGAGAGAAGGAGGAGGAGGAGGAGGAGGCGGAGGAGGAGGAGGAGGAGGAGAAGGATGAGGAGGAGGCGGAGGCGGAGGAGAGATAAGGCGGAGGAGGAGGAGGAGGAGGAGGAGGAGGAGGAGGAGGAGGAGGAGGAGAGATGAGGAGAGGAGGGAGGAGGAGAAGGGGGATGACGAGATTCCCCCCTCGCTCGCCGCGGCTCCTGCCGTGCTCTCTTCGAGTCTCTCCCCGCGTCTCCCGGAGGCCTCCCGTCGCCACGTCCTGGCTCCTCCCCCGGACTCCGCCGTCGGAGCGGGCCCCTCTGCACAGCCTGTTTGGCCTCGCAGCGGCGGGATTCGGGGGCTTTTTTTTGACTATACTTAGCTCGTTGCAAGTTAGCTTGAGCGCAGCGGCCAACAGGACTGGCACAGGCTGCACACGAGAGGCCCGAGAGCATGGACGCTGAGCTGCTTCCGCTCTCGTCCCGAAAACTGTCGGGAGAGAGGTATTGGCGCTGCGGGAGGGGAAGAGAGGAATCATATACGAAAGAGGAGGAGTTTGCAGCGCCGTGCGAAGAGAGACATCAGCGGGGCCCTGCTTCGTTGCCCATAGCAGGGCAGCCCTCGAGGCAGAGAGCAGTGCAGGGCTAGAAAAGAGATATCTGGCCTGGGAATGCCTACCCAAATTAAGTAGACCGTGAGGAGAGAGGAGGAGCTGGACGGAGGGCCAAAATGGCCGTGGGCGGTCGAACCGCCTTGTTGCTGCTGAGCAGCGCGCTGGGGGAGGGAGAGGGAGGGAGGACCATCGGAGGCCAAGAGAGGAGGAGAGAGAGGACGAGCACATCGGGTCCCTCACGCCCGCCCACCCCGTTAAACGGGGTCGAGGGTACGCCCAGGGACCAGACGAACCCGTCCAGCAGCCTGAAAAAGGCCGGCTGCTAGGTGGAGGGGGGCCAATCAACTTTTGTCAGATGAACAAGCGGCTCGGAGTAGGCTGCGCATGAACACCCCAGACATGGCCCCCCCCCTCAAAAAGAGCGAAGCGTCAATCTCCAGGGTTGCGCAGCGCGGGACTGTAGCCGCGCTGCCGGGCGACCGTGACTGCGTCCAGAGGCGGCGCCTGCCGGGCGGCCGCTACGACGGTGCGAAAAAGCCCAGAAGACTGGCCAGGAAGAAGACTGGAGGTGAAAACAATGCTTGCAGGCTTATCTGCCGACGAAAAGTGTGCTGCCTTGTCTACCGTCGGAAAAAGCCAGTGCCAGAGAGTGCTGCATTATCGGCCGTCGAAAAGAGAGCTGCCTTACGCGCCGTCGAATTGAGTGCTGCATCGCCTGCCTGAGTGCTGCCTTGCCTGCTCCGTTTTCCGTCTTCGGCGGAAAACTGACGGAGCTCGGGAGGTGGAGGAGATGGAGCGGAGCGGAGCTGCTGGGCTAGACGGTGGCCTCAAGGCGCGTCGCTAGACGCGGCATTGGCACTGGCACTGGCTAATAACGCTCTGACCCGGGCCAAACACTCTTGAGTTTCCGCCTCATTCCTGGCTAAAAACGCTCTGACACTCTGCCGGGTACTGGCGGATACTGGCACTGGCTGCTCAGGCACTGCATGGCACTGGACTGCTGGCGCGGTCACTGAAGGAAGGACAGGTACAGGCACAGGGACTCCAGCGTCAGGCCGCGCTGCTGGCTCCGAAGCCGCCTCCACCGCATCTGGGGCAGATACTCCACGCAGGGGCCCCGCGGGAGCCACGGCACCAGGATGCGCGGCGGCGCCAGGCACACGGCCAACCGGAGGATCGCCACCTCCGGGGAGACCAGCGACACCGACAGCCTGAACTGAACCAGCGCGGCCATCGGCATGGCCGTCGACACTAGCAGCATGTACTGCACCAGCAACCGGAAGGCGAGCATCGGCATGGCCGTCGACACGAGCAGCATGAACTCCAGAAAGGCGAGCATCGGCATGGCCGTCGACACCAGCAGCCTGAGCTGAACCAGCGCGGGCATCGCCATGGCCGACGACACCAGCAGCATGTACTGCACCAGCACCTGGAAGACGGACATCGGCATGGCCATCGACACGAGCAGCATGAAATCCAGCCTGCGCCGGACGGCTGCGGGCCCGTGACTGGCTGGCCGCGGGGCGTGCGCTGAGCCAGAAGCAGACCTCCGTGCGGCCGTCGGAGAAGCGGTGGCCGCGGTCCACCACGACAGCGTTACCAGCCTGCTCCTCGAGGGCCGTCAGGGCGCTGAGAAGCACGGCCCGCGCCGTGGGCGACGTGCGCGGCCGCGCGGGGTCGAGGACCACCTTGACCTTCCCGCGGCCCTCGATGGCGGCGGCGCCGAAGGTGAGGTGCGCGGCGGCTCCGGCGACGACCTGATCGCGCAGCCAGCGAAGGCGCGCGTGGACCACCATGGCACGAGAGAGCGCAGGGGCGCTGAGAAAGTAACGGAACAAGCAAGAGCTTGAGCGAAATGGTTACTGGATTCGGGGGCGGAAAAAGAGGGGGGGGATGACTGGGGGGGGGGTGGATATCATGGCGGGGGTCATGATATTTCCCCAGAGTTCATGGCGCCTCTTCTTATTTCAGTACGTCCCTGGCCCCCCCCCCCAAGGACCGCGCACATGTCGCCAGCCATGATTTGCGCCCCCCCCCCTCTTGGACACCCCCCTCCCTGGCCGCTCCCGAGGGATGATCAGACGACCACGAACGTCGGAGGTGGACAGGCCTCCTACCCTGACACGTCGATTAAGGAATTGGCCGTTTACGGTTCGCGAGAGGGCGTCGCGGCAATCATTTTTGCGGGTCTAGGTCCGTCGATTTCGGCCCGAGATCATTTTCACCAAGGGGAGGTTTACTACAGGGAGGTTTGTCCACCGCCGAGAACGTGCGCAAGTGCATCTTCGTGGAGTCGAGTTGGAGGCCGAAGCTTGGAACATCACGCCGCGCCAGGTCGCAGGGAGGGCGTCATCAGGAAGACCGGGGCGGACGGCGACGGTTGCGACGACGACCACGCCGACGACGACGAACATGCGACGGCTAGCACTGCGAATTCCGCGAGCACGGCGACCGCGGCGACGGCAACAACGACGTACGGTGAGCACGACGACGAAGCAGACAAACGCGCCTGCGACGACGACGGCGACCGCGACGGCTAGCTCGACGGCGAGCACGACGACGAGGTCTCGGGAGGTCTCCACAGGTCCTACGAGGGCTCCACAGACCTGCACGAGGCCCGAGATGGGCAAGAGCCCTTATGTCTCCAGCGTACATCCATACGGTGTGCTCTGGCACTCTCGATGTGCATTGCGGTGGTGCAATCAGTGTATGGTATCCTCTCATGTGATGCCATCTATAGGGTGGGACTCACTTGTGAAAACTGCAGTCGTCAGCTCCATTGTTCGTGCAAACATCCAACCCTCCCACCCGCAATTTGTTAACAAAACTCATCAGGCCATGAGCTCAACGAGCGCGCGGCGCACGGACGGTTGGAACTCAACCGCTCAGACCTGACCGTCCTGCAAGTGACGAAATGGTGGTGACGCTGGTGACGACCGCGATTCCGACGACGATGGCCATGCCAGTGGTGATGAAGTCGACGCCGATAGTGATGACAGTGGTGATGGGGGCGGTACGATGTCGACAAACGACGATGGTGATGGTGCACACGCTGATCGTGATGATAATGCTGGTGGCAACGATGACTCTGGCGATGCCGATGGCAATGGTGCTGGTCTGCCGGTTTTGGTGGTGTGATGGGAAGTGTCTGCGCGCAGCAGTTTGCAGAGGGCGACGGCGACAATAACGACGGCGACGGCGACGACGACGACGACGACGACGACGACGACGACGACGACGGCGACGGCGGCGGCGACGACGGCGGCGGTGGCGGCGGCGGCGGCGGCGGCGGCGGCGACGACGACGACGACGACGACGGCGGCGGCGGCGGCGGCGGCGACGACGACAGACGGACGGCGACGACGGCGACGGCGACGACGGCGACGACGGCGACGACGACGACGACAGACGGACGACGACGATGGCGACGACGGCGACGGCGGCGGCGGCTGCGTGGGCGGCGGCGGCGGCGGCGGCGGCGACGGCGACGACGGCGACGGCGACAACGACAGCGACGACAGGCGGACGACGACGGCGACGGCGACGACGATGACGGCGGCAGCAACGACGCCCCGCCCCCCTGCGAGGAGGCGCGCCCGCGGCGGAGGGGCGCCCGAGAGCGCGCCGCTCGGCGGGCGCCCGCCCGCAAAAGAGCGGCCCGTCCCCCCGTGGCTCCCGTCGCGCGGGGCCGCCGCCCGCGGCCTCTCCGCCCGCGCGGGCCGCCGCGGCCGGGGGGGGGGGGCAGGGCGCGGGCAGAGGGGCGAAGAGGGGGGGGGGGGGAGCGAGGAGGAGGGGGAGGAGGAGGAGGACGGAGGAGGAGGGAGGAGGAGAGGAGGGAGGAGGAGGAGGAGGAGAGGAAGGAGGAGGAGGAGGAGGAAAAGGAGGAGGACGGAGGAGCAGGGGGAGGAAAAGGGAGGAGGAGGAGGAGGACGGAGGAGGAGGAAGACGAGGCGGAGGCGGAGGAGCGGAGGAGGAGGACGACGCGTAGGCGGGCGGGCGCGCGGGGGCGATAGAAGGAGAGAGCGAGAGGGAGAGAGAGAGAGGGACAGAGAGAGAGAAAGAGAAAGAGAAAGAGCGAGAGAGAGGGCGAGAGAGAGAGAGAAAGCGAGCGAGTGTGTGGTTGGTGGGATATATTATATATATGGTGGGATATATATATATATACACACAAGACTGCAGTGGCGCTTCGCGCCATGCACCTTGGTCCTTGAAGGTTGGTACGCAGGCGGAATAGTAGGAATGTCAAGCCGACACTTTAGCGATAACTCCTGGTTGCCTTTTTTCTGACATCGCCGCTGTAATAATGTTATTCGTTTTCCTTCCTCCATGTTTCTTTTTCCTTCTGTTCGCCATGCCCTGCGCATTCTCCCCATCCTCCTCAGCTTTTTGTTGCGGAGACTCCTCCTTGAAGAGCCTGTAGGGCCCTCACAAAGTTGTTCCAGGCTTTCTTAAGGCCTTCTGGAGATCTCCTGGGCGTATTCTGGGGGCCTCGGGGGGCTTCCTCGGGCCACCCTGCCTCCAACCGCGGTCTCCCTGAACGACCGAATCACGATTTGAAATTCTTCGGAGGGTGTCTTTGGGCCATCTTGGGCCGCCATGGGGCTCTCTGAGGGCCATATTGGACCCGTGTTGTGTCATGTTTGGGCTCTCTTGGACTGCCTGGAAGCCCTTTCGGATGGTTGTGGGGCGATTGTGGAGCCTCCCAGGCGGCTTCGGACGCCCAGAAGACCGCCGTCTTGGAGCGTCGGGAAGCCGAAAAAGAGGAGAACCCTAACATTCTCCAAACACCAATAGGAAATCCATGATTTTTGCCTCGGGGGGCCTTCTTGGGAGTGCTCTTGGGGGCCTCTTTGGGGCCGTCCTGGGGGCCTCTTGGGCCATCTTGAGGTCACGTCGGTCACTCTTGGAGCGTTCTTGTGCTGTCTTGGGGGTCTCTGGGACGTCTCCGATGGCCCCCCTGATCGCCTTAGGTGTGCTGGGAAGGCTTGACAAAGCGCCATGTGAGGCCCGGGGGCCGCTTCGAGGCCCGACTGGAGGGTCCCAAAGCCCCAGATCCCGGGAGTCAGTTTTTTTTTGAGGGGGGTGATGGGTTCCCCCCCCCGCCTGGGCTCATCAGGATATGGGGAAGACGAATATGTAAATATATATATTTATATTTATATATATATATGTATACACATATATACATATATATATATATATATACATATATATAAACATATATATATATAGAGAGAGAGAGAGAGAAAAAAACAAAGAGGGAGGGAGAGAGAGAGAGAGAGGGAGAGAGAGAGAGAGAGAGAGAGAGAGAGAGCGAGAGAGAGAGAGAGAGAGAAAGCGCGCGTTGGCGCGCGCCTGCGAGCGCGCGCGTGCGTCATTGTGCGTGCGTGCATGAGTGGCCGCGTCGAAATGTTTGCGGGGTGGGTTGGTCGTGGTCCAGACGGGGCAGGGGCGTTGGCGGCGCGGGGGGTGCGTGGCAGTGGCGCGCGTGTGGTACGTGGAGGGGGGGCGGGGGGGCTCGGGTGAGCGGGCGGGTGGCGCGCGCGCGTGGGCGTTGCCGTGTTTGCGCGCGCAGGTGGCGAGCGGGGCGGAACGGGGATTGCCGACAGCGGGCGCGCTGGCAGCCGTTGTTCCGCTCGCGTTCGCAAAGCCACAACACGTTTGGTTTCCATTGCGGTTGGGTCTTGCTTGCGTGCAGAAGTCGCCGTTGTTCTGGAGTCAATCAAACGACCGCGGCGTTTCCACCCAGCTTATCGACCCCCTGACCACCCTCGCCTCTCCAGCAGCTGCGCGTGTTGGCCCAGTTGCTGCTTCGGCTCTGCTGCGAAGCATATGAGGCACAGTGTTTTCTTTGAGGACAGCTGTCCACGCTCACTCTGGTCATTTGCTGTGCCTGCGTTTTTTTTCGCTTGCACATCCGTTTCGTTTTCTTTTCTCTTCGACATGTCATTCCCCTGTATCCATCATCCCCTTCTCGATCCGTCTCGCCCAGCTAGGCAGGCGCGCGCGCCGCCTGCGTGGACAGGATGTCTTCGCCTTGCGCGCCCTTCCGTCCTGCGCGCCACCCCTTGCGGCGCGCATAGGAACCGATTTTTCTTTTGAGAACAGCTTTTGCCGCGCCGTTCAAGGGCGCGCAAGGCCGCCAGGTGCGCCGAAGGGCGCGTCTGCGTCGGACCATCTCGCAAAAGCGGCAGCAACGGTTTTGTTGTGATTATTTGGGCTATCTGAGGCAGTCTTGGGGATATTGGAGCCTGTGGGGGATCTTCGGTCTTTGGAGGCATTTGGGGGCGCAAGAGGGCGCTCGCTTTCGGGGCGCCTGCTCGCGTCCGGAAGCCAGGCCCCCCCCAGGCCCCCCCCCCCCCCCCACCGCCCCCCCCCCCCCCCCCCCCCCCCCCCCCCCCACCCCACCCCACCCCACCCCCCCCACCCCACCCCACCCCCTTACCTCCACCCCCCACCTACAACCCAGCATGCACCAGCAAAGCAGCTGTTTCAACACACTGTTTAGGGCAAAAACACGTCGTAGGGACATCAACCGAATCAGGCAACATTTCTAAACATAAATCACAGGTATCATCACACAATGACAAGAACACGCATGGCCCGCGTGTTTTCCAGAGGCATGGTAGGTAATGTTTGTTCCATCAGACTTGCTGTGTCCCGGGGGCACTCCAGAGGCGTGGCATTAGTTTCTCACGAGCACTGTGCTACGATTGCACATGTGCTTGCACGCGACCTAATCTGCACCCACGCGCCGCGTGCATCGAACGCGTTGGCCCGAGGTCCGGAGGCGCCC